GGCTCGCTTAGCAGGGGTCGGGTGTAAGATGTAGGTGTTGCCTTCACCTGCCCTCAATTCCCTGCAGCCGTAATTCCTAAACCCGAAACGCGAAACCGCTTTTTTTGCAGCTGGACTTGAATGTCAGCACGTGAAGCCACCGAAACCCTAAACCCTAAGCCCGAAGCCTAAGCTCATGGTCACCCCAATAGATCTCCACTCTTCGCCTGGCGGTGGTCGAAGAAGTCCAAATCCGGTACCGAACTGCCTGAGTTCCGTCAGTGGGTTTGGGTTCTTTTAATTGCAAGGTGTTCGGTGTGCCAAGGTATACTAACCAGCAAATACAATGTGTTTTGGTAGAGACTTATACCTGTATGAATATGTGTATGTACGTACGTCTGTATGTATGTATAACTTACATATACGGGGATATATATAAGTTTATATATATATATAGATAAATAAATGTATCTCTATATATATATATATATATATCGTAATAGCAACATTAATAGCAACATCAACAATAGTGCAAATGATGATAACCAGTATCATCTATATCTGTATATATATATACATACATACACATACTTATACATATATATATATAGGTAGTTATACAGGTATACAAGACATATGTACATATATATATATACATATGCATATGTATACACTTATATATATATATATAAATCGATATCCACATGGGATATGTGTGTGCATAAAAAACATATAACTCTCTCTCTCTCTCTATATATATATATACACACACACACATATTATATTGTACATGTATAAGGAACGCTCAAGACTAGTGATATTACCATTTCAGGCTTCTATATTATCCGAAAGCAAGGCACCTCGTGCCGTACCCTTGCCGCCAAGGGGTCCTCTGTACTCAGACAGTTCCCCGCATGAACTGGGATCCGTTTGAACAACCTCGTATGGTCGTAAACCGAGTCTAGGGTTTAGGCATTGTGGGTTTAGGGTGCTTGACAATCCCATGTCCCATACACCTGCCCCAAACGCCCAAACCCAACACCAGTTATACAAAGCTTGGAAGCCCCTAAAGCCTGAAAAACTAAACCCCAACACCACTAAAAGCTAAAATGCATTATAGCTCGAACGCCTCGTCTGAAAAGGTTCGAGTTGCTCGCTGGGGGCGGCTCGCTCCAGGACAGGGACCTAGCCTGGACCGCAATGACTGGTTTTGGCTTACTGTAATGTTTTCCAAAACCGGGGCTCTGCACGGGGCAACTAAGGTTTCTCCATAAGTTGGGCTTGTATAAGTGTCTCCAGGATTTAAGCTGTAGAGCTCCGGGCTTAGGGTGAGGAGCTCTGGGCGTCAGGTTTGGTTCTGTTTGGTTTAGGACTTCGTCTCGAAGGCTGTAGGCCCTGGCAGTACGTGGTACATATGATATGCTTTGGGAAACCCAGGACACGCCTGTGCAGGATGCAAGGCAAACCACAAAGTTTTTACCCTCCCGCCTCAAGAACCTAATCCGGAGAACAACTAACCTTAGTTGCTGAGTTCGTATACCACGAAAGTGTAATCTTTCACGTCTTTTGCCCATCTCACCGCCGCATACCCATCGGGGCTAGATGCGAGAGGGGTGTTGTAGGTGGTTGTACTGCATGCCTTCTTGACACAGCTCATCCACATGTCCCAAAACCTGTACGACATGCCGGACCCCTCGCGGCAGGATGTGTTTCATCTGCAAGATCCAGAGGAGGCATACTGCGTACTGGTCTTCTGCCGAAACAAGAACCCAACAGGGTGCGAAAGTCAGCCACACTGATCCCCGTTCCAACCCGGAGGTCTTCGGGGTCTGGCCGCGAGCGCTCCAAAGGATAGGTCATGGCAGTTCGCGCAGCTTACCCACGCTAGCAGAAGCCACTAGGAAGCACCTAACCCCTGGCAGAGAAGGTACAGACAGGACGAGGGTAATAGCAAACGATAGAGCAGGGGACAGGATGGTTTAGGGTCTAAGGGTTTGGGCCTGGGGGGCTTGATGGTTCAGTTGCAACTTCCGAGCAACACCACGTGAAAAGCAAATCCCATGTTTTTAAACTTTGCCTCTACGAAGTCAGGCAGCAGTCGAAGTGTACAGCAACAGGCTTCCTAGAGTCCAGGAGCCGCTGCTTCGAGGCGCAGCCAAGAAGCGAACTGAGACAAAGATGCACTCGATCTGGATCTGATGACCTTGCTTCGACATGTCGAAAAACTAGACCACAGGAGCAGCAACAACGATGATGTTCAAAATGCGGACATCAAGGTCGCGCTCCTTGTTCCTTGGAAGCAAGTAGTCTTCCTTCGTAGTTTCATGTGGGCCACCTGACCCCAAACATGACACTGACCAGAGTCACACATGCAAATCATTTGCCATTTTGCTCTTAAGTTTCAGCTCTCTCAACCTCCACCCTCACATGAATTCTGAATGCCGCTGCTCGAGAGCTTGAGTACGCATTCTTTAAAGGGAGCGGGGTTGTTCTGTGCCGCAGCGCTGCAGCGAGTCAGTTCAGTTGTTGTTTGGTGATATTCGGTGCGCAAGCAAACCCCGAAACGCCAAACCACAAAGGTGCTTGAATCGGCCTCTGGACCCTAGTCCCAAGACACCCGATCCCAAACACCGCACTCGAAAAGCCAGCTGCAAAGAAGCCAAGCTTAGGAGAATCAAGCTCTAGGGCTGGTGCAGCCACGTTGTTTTCCATCATCTCTGCATCGACCATCCTTGTAGGGCCGGTGAACGTCATAGGGAATTTCTGTAGAGTTGCCTGTTGTTTGCTCGTCTCTTCTAGTGGTGTTGGAGTTGAAGATGGGGCACAAGGAGACCTTGGGGTTTCGGGGCCTGAATATGGTTACCTTATTTTGGGGTCCTTATAATAAGGATCCTATTATTTAGGGTACTATATTAGGGTCCCCTATTTTCGGAATATGGTGCAGCTCCGGGAGCTCCGGGCGCATCTGACCCTGTGATTTTTCTCCCACCGCTGACTCTAGGGTTTTTTCTTTTGAACTCCGTTTGCGGCTGCATCCTCTAGTCAGACTCCGCAGCCCGCCCTAGGGTGTAGGGCTTTGGGTTTATAAGCGTTAAACTTTCAGATTTCTGACCACAATCACAGCTCTATGCCCTGAACTAGGCTTGGTGATGCTCGAGCCAGCACAAGAACGACCGATCCACGAAGACCGCGTGAGAATCAGGGTCCATGGTCTAGGGTTTAGGTTTTAGCGGTTAAGGCCTCAGACTTTGTGTTTATGGTTAAGGAAGTAGCACCCCAAACCAAACGCTGAATCCTAAACGCTGTGTGATTCTGTAAATTTCGGGCCGCGAACACTGAAAGCCTGACTCACGAAGCCCTGTACTATAGAAGCGCGAACAATTACCTATATGAATGTTTCTTACTATGGCTATATGTTGTAAGAATCACTAAAAAAACAATTCTATTGCCGGAACCCTTATAGTCACCCCAAAAGGGCCCAGAAAAGGAACCCCTATTAAGTAATGTAAGCAAAGGGCTGTACCCTAAACCCTAAACCCTGAACCCAAAACCGAAAACCCTTAAAAGAGTGCTTCGACCCTTCCATCAGTTCTGGCAAAGGGCTCAGAGAGGCACCGAGAAGATCCGAAACTGGCGAAAGCCTCACGGAAATGAGGGAGACATACTCTTGGGCTCAGGGGCTTAGGATTTAGGGTTTTGGGTTTAGGGTTTAGGTCAGGGTTGAGGGCTAAGTTAAGCGTTCAGGGTTCCAGCTTTCGGGCTTAGGCTTTGGGGGTTTTCCCTTAATTGGGGAGTGTCTGGGCTTGAGGGCCTGATTTAGAACATCCCGACGACTACCACAAGAGCTTTGGCAAGCCCTCTTCACAGCCCGATCACAACCTCTGGCTTGGTGAGTAGGGTTTATAGGGTTTAACCCTAAACCCCCGAATCCCAAACCCTGGAGGTAAGGCGTCTGAAGGCAAAGCTCTGTGATCCTCTGAGTAGGGTTTAGGGTTTTTGGGGGGTTCATAGGGTTTAGGGCAGGTGGCAGGTTTCACCAATATCAAGTAACATAGGTGCCTTAATAATTGGAATAGGGTTTTGGGGCACATTATACTATACTTATACTAAGGAGTCGCCCCCCCCAAAATAGTATTGGGGCAATTATTCAGGCCCCTGCATTATCAGAACTGGCTTGAACCATTTGGCAGTCGTGGGTTAAAAAGGAGCTTGGACTTGAGACAGGGCTCTTTTTGCCCTTCGGCTGGGGGATCAGGAACCCAGAATACCTAAACCCTAGACCCTACACGGTTTAGGGTTTGGGGTTTAGGGGTGTAGGGTTTAGGGAGAGGACTTGGGTGTGGGGGCTTTTCAGCAGTTCGGTGGCGGATGTAAGCTCCAGTCTTGGGCGAGTACACCCGTGAAATCTAGTCTGCATGCAGCCAGGGACTGCACCTAGAATATTTGTTCCCACGCAACTGCGGCCGCAGTCTTGCAGTGGCCAGACAGACTACGAATGAGGTGCCGACTACCGGGCAGGGTCACTCCCGATACCATGCTTGTCACCCTACACACGAGGCCCTGGGTCCCAAACAAAGCTTTCGCGAGCTCGGATCGCACACCTACGCTATGACCCCGATCCCTCCACTCCTTCAATCACTATAATCTTAATGCTAATCCCTCCCTGCTTTCACCAGAACCCGCAGGCGTTCATAAACATCAGCGGCCAACAAAACCCTGAATCCTGAATTCGGTACGTCTGATTTCTGAACCCCGACTCCTCGAAAACACAACGAGCCCTGTGGCTTTAAATCCTCCTCCTAAACCCGAAGCTCGCAACCCTAAACGCCCAACCCGACACCCTAAACTGGCAAAATCTGATCCCCGACCCCAATGTGCAGCTAGCAGTAGTTTCTCCAAAAAGTCCAACTGCAGAGGCTTGGGTAATTATACCATACTATGTCGAGGTCTCAGTTACCTGAAACCCAGAAGCCTGAGCCCTATCCTACTCTGTACCATTTAGGTCCCTATGTTGTACCGTCCTGCACCATGGAATTCTGGCGCTTGAACGGCTTCGGGGTCGTCATCCTCTCTGCCGGCGATTCCGGTTCCAAGTCGATCCTTGAAGGCGGGAGGAGCCTACACCACAGCGCCCATACGGTGGTTTCATCATAAGAACTAAGAGGTATCTTCTCTTCATTTCTTGTTATTAGTAACTTAGTATCCTGCGATTTAGCGTCACATTAGGCGCCACTACTTTCTGGAAGCACTCATGCCCCAATGCAACGGTAGGCATGCAGCAGTAGGCATGACATGAATCGCCAGCATCGAGCATCGCGGCGACAACCAACTACATTGTCATCATCACCATCAACATCATTGTCACCACCATCATCACCATCATCATCATCATCATCAACCTCATCGTCGTCATCATCATCATCATCATCCTCGTAATCCCCATCATCATCATCACCATCATCACGATGATCACCGTCACCGTCATCATCACCATCATCATCAACATCATCATCATCATCATCACGATGATCACCATCACCGTCATCATCATCATGATTGCATTAATCTTCTCATCTGCATCTTCGTCATCAGCTTCTTCTTAACCACCATCGGTATCATCACATCATCATCGCAATCATCAACGTCATCATCACCCTTACAATAACCATCATAAGCCTCATCTTCATCATCATCATCATCATCATCGTCATCATCACTATCGCAATAACCATCATAAACCGTGTTATCTTCATCTTCTTTATCGTCACCATCAACATCATTGTCACCATCAGCATCTTCATCAACATAATCATCATCAACACCATTACCGTCACCATCATCATGGTTGTATTCATCTTCTCATCCTCATCTGCATCACCATCGTCATCATCATCAAACCATCATCGCTATCAAATCAACATCACCATCAGCATCACAATCATCATCATCCTCACCATGATAACAACCACCATCACCATTTTCATTTTCATCTTCATCATCACAATCATCATCACCACCACCCACATCATCATCATCATCATCATCATCATCATCATCAGCGTCGCCATCATCATGATTCAAGTCATCTGCATCTTCATCTTTTTTGATATTTCTTCTTCACCATCGTTATTGTCATCACATCATCATCACCATCACCATCACCATCACCATCACCATCACCATCATCATCAATGTCATCAACGCCATCATCGTAATCATCATCAGTTCATCGTCATCTTCTTCATCACCATCGACATCATCATCACCACCACCTTCACCATCATCCTCGTTAGTTCGGACCAGGGGCTTCTCCGGCAACTTGGCGAACATGGAGACAGGAAGGGAAGATCTACGTAGCTCTGGGCTGGCGACTTATACCGGACCGAAGCAGTGAGAGCAAAGGGTGGGCTCAAGGTTGACATTACGTCTTGCGTAAAGGGGGGGGATAGGATTCTCTCTTCTCGGCATGTTTTCCGAATGCATCACGACCGAATCTTGTGGCTGGAAGCGTGGTTCGGCCAAGCATCTCAATCTCTGATGGCTTCGGAGGCAGTGGACGCGTGTCGCGGTAGATGGCAAACTGCCTTCAGCAGCAAGCTCTAAGTAAAACACCCGGATGTAGGGAACTTAATGCCCGGATATGGGATTGGGTGAAGAGGAACAGTGCTGTTCATGTTTCAGGCTCCTATCTTAAGTCTGAGGTCCGGAGCAGCCCAAGACCAAATGATTCAGGTAGCGACACCATGCGATCGTATCTGTATCTGGCATCTACCGCCTCAGAGCCCTCGACATACAAACCCGTACCCGGATGTTTCTAAAACCCTCGAGCCCTAAACTCTGATTTCTCAGAGCCTACACCAAGCTTCCTGAGTTGTAGGAGAATGACCATGCATTCTCAGGGCAAATCGTGCGCTCCCAAATCCCTTGTCTAGTTATCCCTTTAACCATTCAGCTCCCTATACTACACTCTTCAGTTCCAAGCACCGCCCCAACCCTGTCCCAGGCCGTTTCTCGGTTTAGAGCTAGCCTTTCCTTACGTAGGGCCAGAGACTGTCAGATGCTTGCACATCTTGGTCTTGCTTCGGCGCTTTCGTTTAGGGCCTAAGGCTTGAAGAGCTCAGGGCTGTCTGGCAAACGACAGCTTATCGAATTTCGAACTGCGACTTGGCTGTCGGACTCCCTCCAAACCGTTCCGCCGCCGTCTATGCCTGTCGCCTGACATTGTGACTGCGTTTCTTGATGACGCTGCTGCGAGAGAAAAGTCGGCATCGCCAGCGCGCGTAATCTTTTGATTGCTCATGGCACAGTGCTTGCCACCATGTTCTCGTTGTGTGCTCTGCGGTACTCCTATTAGCAACCCACTTCAAATTCCATTCGGGGAGCCCCACAAAGGCAATGGACCTGTCGAATCGCTAGCACACCCTCAGCCCTAAACTTCCAATTCGCCGATTCATAGCCTCTTAACCTCCTTACCATCACACCGCCTCCAAGCATGTGTCCCCATCGTGCTAAACCCGGAAGACCTGCAACAAACAGCAGAAACACATCCCGATTCTTTGCCCACAGCGGCATCATGAGCGTTGAAACCAAGCTGAAGTTGAGCAGCCTGGGAATCTGGAGGTGCTTTCAGGATCAGGGGACTTAGTAAGTAGGGCTGTAAATCAGCAAAATATAGCTACTATATAATAACCTTTCTTCAGGAGCCCGTCGAATTTTAGCTGTGTCTCGTAAAGCCAACCTACTTTCTCCTGTGCGGGCCTTGCGACCACCAAAACGACCACAACGACGACCAAGACGACCAAGAGCACGAGTGCCACGATGACCACGTGGACTCGCAAAAAAACATACCCTATAAACGCTAAACCCTGGCCATCATGAAGCTGGAGGCAGGACGGAGAGCGCCACGCCCAGAATCGTTTCCGCCACACACGGGCAAGATTGGGACGGGTTCCCTGCGAGTCTAGAGAACTATATGGGTAGAAACTGTGGCGAAATTGGCAACCCTAATAAATCATTCGTGCCCGAAAAAGCTGACCGAATCTCAACGTAAACTCCCCAAAGTGCTACCACACCGTTTCAGCGAAGCGAATCCTTTATTAGACCCTGATACAACCCTGTATACCGTTATAGAGCCCTATAAGAACCCTCTCCTATGAATCTGTATAGAGTTTTGGAGCTTTACAAGCTTTAGGGCGTTGAGTTTTGGTGTCTAATCGCTAGAACGGGCGAGTTGTTGAATTCACTTCTTCTAGCGACTAAGCCCTAAACCCTAAACCCGAAACCTTAAAGCAAAGCGCAAACCCTACACCCCAAACCCTAAACCCCGGTCTTATGTCGAAGCGCGGGACCTGGGCAGGAATAATATGGCCTGCCTTGCTATTCTTGGCGCAGTTGAAATTATCCGAGTGGTAGGCATTTCGGGCGGTTGGTGACCAACCCCCCTTTCCCCCCAAGAAAAAGGGGGGTTTAGGGGCTTAGGGGGGGTTTAAATGCTTTAGGGTTTAGGATTTTAAGGGTTTTAGGTTTGTGACTAAACCATACCGTCATCACCACCAACCTTTACCAGACAGTCAAAACCATCATAAGCTCGATCCGAGCTACATGGTTGCTCGTAGCGCAATGTCGTCGACTTCAACAAAGGTGGTGTACCTTTTCAAGCTGACGTTTGAAGCAGTCACATTTTCGGATCTAAGCGAAAGGTTTGGGCCTGAGGGCTAGGTACGTCTCGGGTGGTTGTGACAGTTATAAGGAAGCGCTCGCGACATCTCAGACACTCTGCATCAGACCATCACTGCCATCACCTGAACCCTGAAAGGCACTAACCCTTGAAGTCCTGAACCCGAATAAAGACCCGAACCCTGAACTCTGAATTCTTGAACTCGACGCCCCACCTTCGCAAACCCCCCGAACCCACAGGCCCAACGCCCGCAAGCAGTGAACCTTCACTTGCAAACTCGAAAGCCCCCAGACCCATAACTTCGAGTCGCAAACTCCAGCCCCGGAGCCTTCAAACCTTACAAAGAACAGCTCAACGCCCCTACAAAGCCCAAAGCCGCAAGCCGCCAGGGTGCAGACGCGCTCCCATCCTGCGCTTGCTCCCAAAGCTGAGTGTAGCTCTCTCATAAGTTTCTTTTTTCCGGGCGGCTTTACGAGTTAAGCTTGAGGTGTTCGGGGTCCTTGCAGTGAAGGAATTACTACTCCTGGGGAATACTTCGCAGATTGCTTGCTTCAGGAGCATTCGGTATTCGGCTCGCGGCGAACTTCGCGAACAAGCTTAGAGGCTTAGAGTGGCGTCGGGGAGCGCTTCAGGATTCTCACACCCCAACCCTGGAAGACCTGAACTTGAACAAGTCAAGTCTTACACCGTGCGAGCCCCAATACCCCCAAACCTGCAATCCAATCCAATCCTGCCCCCAGAACTCAAAGATCCTTCAACTCGCACACCCTCGAACAGTCGCTCGAAAAGTCATGACATCGCAAACCCCCAAACCCTACAGTTCTGCACCCCTGACTCACCACAAACTCTCGAGGCCCTTAACAATCTTTAACAAGTCCGACGCCCCAACCCCGCGTCGCTGCTGGGTCCCTCCAAAGGTCATTCCGGTCACCAGCAAAGAGAGCTGACCAGTGGACCTGACTTTCGGGTTTAGGCTGTAGGCTGTAGGGTGTCCCACATAGAGGGTTTGGGCGTAAGGTGTCCGATAGAAACGGTTTAGGGTGTGGGGCGTAAGGTTTGGTTAGCATAGGCTGCAGAGTTTTAGAGTGCAATATTCCAGCCGGAATGTCCTTTACGTGAATCTACGTGCGCTGCAAAGATACTACGGAACCCTAGAGAACCCAAACCCTGAACCGGCGTGCAGCCCTACACATTAGGGCTAGGTGTAGAATTGAGCCGATGTCGGCACCTGGGAAAAACTGGGTTCTTGCTAAGGAGTTTAATCTAAGGTACCAGAATAAGGAACCCTCGTAACTTACGGTAGATCCTTATTGATTATGGTAACTTACATTAAGTTCATGAACAAGAACCCAGAAAAGGCAGGCAAGAGTTACCATGTCCGGCCCCAAGGGGTCTCCTATGCCATCTGGATGCCTGCGACTCTGCCAACCGCCTACTAACATGCTTAGGGTTTAGGGTTTAGGGTTTAGGGTTTAGGGTTTAGGGACAACACAAAAAGGGAACAGTTGCGCGCAGGCCCCCATTGCTATGCTGACTTGGCTTCTCAGACATGAAAGCAAAGGTAGCATCGACACTGAATCCTCCAACACCGGATGATCAGCCAAGCAACCCAATTAGAAAGAAGGTAGTCAGCATGTCATGAGTATTTGAGCTCATGCTAGTTCAATCTAGGCTGACGTGACTTCTAACACACGGAAACAGAGCTAGAATCGGGTTTAGGGCTTGGGGTTTGGGACCTCTGCATTGCACTTGAAAGGCGAGTTCTGGCAGGGTGTGGGGCTTTTTTGGGATTGAGAGGGTGGAGGTGCATGATGAGTGAAGCCTGTGGATGCACATTGAGTGCTTCCTGCTTTAGGTTGCTCAGATCAAGCATGTGCTTAAGCTATCAACAGCCAAGGCCTTGACATATTTCAGGCAAGTTGTGCAAACACGCTTTCCCCAGCCTGACTGAAGCCGTCAGAGTTGAAAGCTCAAGACGCCCAAGCGCTAAACCTTATAAACCCTAAACTAAAGCTTAAGAAGCCCAAGCCCTAAACCCTACATCAACTCTCCAAGCCCTGGGTAGCTTCTTGGCAGTTCTGGGCCCAGCTTTAAGCAAAACCGAAACCGCAGATCCCTAAACCCTCTCAACATGAATCCCAGCCAATAAATCCAAGCAGGTAGTAGAGCCTCAAACTGCAGGGAAAAGGTCCTAAACCCAAAACCTTGCCCTAAACGCTGAAACCCTCCAAAAGCCTACACAAATCCGATAGTGGCTCAGCGTTTAGAGCTGCGGAGCCTAACCACCTCACGCACCGTGCGTCCGAAAGTGACACGAAGACACGATTCAGGGCTTAATTAAGGCTTATTGCAATCAGGGTGTTCTAAAGCTTTAGGGTTCAGGAACTGGCCGAAGGCAGCAAACCCTCAACCCTTCCTTATCCGATGGTCGCGAACCATCCACATGGGAATCCATACGCCAAGGATCTTGTTCTTGTAGTTGATGACAACCTGTGCAGATAGCTCAGGACGAAGATCAACCCTGTTTGCAGGGTTTGGGATTTTGGGCAAAATCCCCACCCGCCACCCTGACCCTTGACATGCAAGGTCCTGAACCCCAAAACGATCATGTCCCCCTGAACCCCAAAAGGATCATTTCCTAGGGGCCCTGACACCACCATATGTAACTCTGAGCTTTATCAGCGCTGGGATTCCGTATGCCATACACAACAGGCGACAGGATACAGATGCTGCAAGTTTTGTAGCTACTCTATCCATGTAAATCCTGCTTGAACCCGCCTTAAGGAACCCTAAGCCCTAAATGACAGGGAGGTTGCAGGTTGATACCTCCCAAGTTCCGGCAAAAGAATCCTGAGATGCCAACGGCTCATATACAACAGTCTCTCTTCTTTAGAAGCGCTACCAGAAGTGAATGACTGTTCTTTGAAGTAAGGCGCTATTATGGAGCGAAATAATAAACCCTCAACCCTACAATAAGCCCCAAAACCCCAAACCCTGAACCCCACCCTTTTTTGCAACAGGCCGCCTTGTGCAGCAGCCCGGACTGACCCTACCCTAAACCTTAAGCCCTGGCCTGAGGTAGTACGGCCACGATCCCAAACAGCGCAATGACTCCATAGGCCGCGGCGGTGACGGTGGCGGAAACCTAAGAAGAGAAACCCGCAGCATCCGCGCAGGGGGCCTGTGATCGACTTTACTTGTCCGGGGACACAGTAAGTAGGGTTCTAAGTACCTCAATTGGGTTCGACGTAGCTATAACCATGGCTCATCATGGCTCTAACTCCTGGGATTTCTAATCGCATGGCGGAACTCCATGAAATATTCTTCCTCCAAGCAGCCAGCCCAGTCGACATCAACACCACCCCGGTGCAGAGGCAAGCGCACGCGATCCTTTCTGTTGCAACTTGTCGCTTCCTCTCAACTCATTACTTCTCGCCACTGCTGTGCACCATAAGGGCTCCCAAAAGGGTTTAGGGCTAAGGGTTTGGGAAACCCTAGACTCTACGTGAACCCAAAACACAAAAGCCCTGGAAGTGTTGCTGCAAGGGTGCTCGTGACTCGTGATCTCATGACTAACAATCTTTCGGCGGCCTAATTAAGGATTTCAAGTCTCAGTGTACGGACTTTAAACCCCCAAGCCCGCAAAATCTGCAGAGAAGGTTTCAGATTCGGATGTCTTCGATTCAGCTTTACAGGGTCTGGGCATCTGGGCCTGTTCCGAAACCGAGAAAGCCTAAACCTTAGCCCGGAATAGCCTAGACTCGACACACCCGCCTTGAACCCGTCACGCATTCTGTTTTGGGCTGGGTTTGCATCTCGGACTTGCCAGGCCGTCTTCAACGCAACAGCTCGTGTTCACTTGAAGCTCGGGGAGCAGAAGTTTTCGCTCTTTGTTGGATTGGCTGCTGGGAGTAGCTATTTCCGACAATCGCCATCTACCACCACTTTCACATCCTTGGGGTATAGTGTTCTGTCATCGTCGCGATGAACGAAAACCGTGAAGAGACCATGCATGCAAGCAGCAGGCAAAACGGGCACACTGGATTCCCCAAGAGCCCAATACCCCGTAATCGAGCTGGAGGATTGCCAATATGATTCAAGCTATATTGCAAGAGGCGTGACAAGCAGATATTGGCATTGGCTTCTCTGAACTTTGGACCCTCGCAACCGTGAACAGCCTACTTTCTAAGGACTTTGAAAAAACCAAATCATAGCAAGGTTTCGGGGTTTAGGGTTCAAAAGGTTTAGGGAACCGAACTCATCAACCAGAGAAACGCTTTTTTCTGTGCTGCTTAAGAGCAGTTATATACGCTTAGCGAAGCCAGAAAGGAGGCATACGTATCGGCTGCACATTCCGTTCAAGTCTGGAGAATCCCGTCCCGAATCGTGCTTAACCTGCATTCAACACCAATTTTGTGTCCTTGCTCTAACCCTAAGTGCCTCAGTGACCATGTACCCAAACATCATATGATTCGGCCCTGCAGTTCCTGGGACTTCGGCCCACTCCTCGCAGATATGAAACCCCGAACTCGAAAGCCCTAAACCCCTAAACCCATAAACCTTGAACCCCTAAACCCCAAGCCCCAAAACTCTACTCCCCTAAACCTTAATCCTAAACTGCTAATCCTTAAACAAAACCCTGAACCGACATCAGCTCTGGGAGACATGTGTGCGCGGTCAGACGCACTTCATGCAATGTTCGCACTGGGCTTAAGGTTTAGGCTGAAGGGTTTGGGGCTTATAGGGCTTATTGGGGTGTAGGGTAGAGGGTCATTCTACTGTCCTTAACAGCTTGAACACCCAGTCGGTGAGCTTGCTAAGGGCTTTCCGGGAAACACATCGTGTGCCGAAGCATCGGTGTGTGAACATCTGGGGCCAGTTTAGGCTTTTTCTACCTAGTGTTCGGGAGAAGGAAGGCGACAATCCGCGAAGAGGTCTTACTGGCAAGTGCAGAAGCACATGCAAAGTCTCTTCAAAGTCTTGAACGAGACCCAACCCTAAACCCAAAGCGTTAAAACCAGAAAGCCTTAAGACCCCAAACCCTAAACTTGAAGCCCCATACCCAAAAACAACTAAAGCGCCACGACCCTGAATCCCGAAGCTCCGACACCCTAAACAAGGCTTCTAAACCATCAACCGTCTAAGCCCTAAAGCCCTAAGACCCTAGACTCTAACGTCCGAAGGCCCTTTTGCTTAAAACCCGAAGACTCGATACTCTAAACTCCGAAGACCCTGTCGCCGTTTAAACCCAAGACCCTAAACCCTACAGCCGCAAAAGCCCTACGACCGTACATTCTCCAGTCCTACGGCCCTAAACCATGAAACCTCACGCCCCTAACCCCTAAAGCCCGCAGACCCTAAGCCAGAAACCCTAACCACCAACGACCCCCAAAGTTTAGGGTTCAGGGCGTAAGGTTTAGGGTTCAGGGTTCCTAAACCCTAAACCCTAAACCCTAAACCCTAAACCCTTTAGGGCAGCGCCAGGGCCCTGAAGCCAAGTCTCCAGACCCGAGGGCCCAGCTTCGCGTCCGCCCACGCGACCACGACAGTTAGGATTAGCATCTGTGGGAAGAGTATGGCCTCGGATTACGGTTTAGGAGGTTCGTGTCGGGTTTACGGTTTAATTTGGGGTTTGGCGTCTGTGGGAAGAGTATGGCCTCGGATTACGGTTTAGGAGGTTGGGTGTAGGGTTTACGGTTTAATTTTGGGGTTTGGCATCTGTGGGAAGA